TTTGGCCATGGCCCCAGGTGGAGCATTTACTGCAGCTGCCAGTCTCTGCTCAGTCCACACACAGAAAGACAGGGTGGCCTCAAGGCTACAAGCAGTAGTCCAGCTCTCTGGGTTTAACGACCTTGGTGGTTTGCTGGGCATTATCACACACGCTTTTCTTTTGCACAGCTGTAATTCCACTTAGCAGTGAGGAGAAAATGAGGAAATGGGCACTTTCTGACACTTTTCAGAACTCCTTCCTTCACTTCACGACACAGCTGTAACATGGACACTGCAGTTGTTTCACCCCATACAGACTTTCCCATTAGCAAACAACACTTCCATGAGCAGCCCTTTCTATGAGGCTCCTGAAAGAAGATGCTATGACTCCTTCTATCCCTTCTGTACAGTACACCATGTGGTTGCTGATTGCTGCCTATTATAAAAATCCCAGCCTTTACTCCAGGCAGTTTTATCTTTTGGGCCTCAGGTAATGTATCAGTTGATGAATTTATTTTCTCACCTTGTATCCAGACTTTACACCTCCAGCCCAATTGGCTGCAACTTTTTGCAGAGTGGAAGGATGCAAATTTTAACAATTTCTCCAGAAAATGTATCTCATTTTGTGAAGATGATATAATTTCCTCCTTTGCCTCACTGCTCACACAGTTCACACAGAGAAGACAAGAAGCAACAGGTTCAAACTGAAATACAGGAAATTCCATTTGAATAGGAGAAAAAGACCCTCTTTTAATGTGAGGTTGGTCAAACACTGGCACAAGCTGTCCTGAAAGAATGTGGAGTCTCCACCATGAGAGATACCCAAACTGCAACAGGATGCAGCCCTGAGCAGCTGACTGTCACTGACCCTGCTTGGAGTATGGGGGTTGGACAAGACAATCTCCAGAGATCCCCTCCAACTTCCAGCGGCCTGTGAAAAGGGCAGGGATATTGCAAGTCAGTCTGAGAAGTTGCTTTGTGTTATGTGTTTTTAACAAGATACATTTTATTCCAGCTCCCTAGTTCTTGGAGGCACTACTGTGCCAGGATACAACAGAAGTCCTTGGATATCAGAGCGCCTGATGATGACTGTGACCCTACAGTCAAAGGCAGCTGAATACCCAGAGCCAACTAATACGTCTCTGTATAAAACAGATAAACATTCACTGAATTACAAATTGGGACTTGGATCTTGTTTTATTTTCTGGTCTGCAGATGTTTTATTAGGCTATGCAAAGTGGAAGAGTTTCAACAGAAAACACTGAGAGTCACCTTAAAATTATTCCCCAGACTGGTGCGCAGGGCACTTGGATAAGACACAGGAATTGCTTCAAGTCCTGACTGAGAAAGAAGTGGCTTTGAACTCTTCCATCCTGAGACATTACTACTACCACTTGATTTCTAGGCAAAAGGGACACTACATTATGTGACAAAGGGTAGATTGAAAGCAAAGTGAACTTTTGGAGGAGCCCACTGGACATGTGTGGATTAGTTAGGCACCTGCCTTAATGGGATTGAGAGCTTTGACACCACCTAATTCCTTGGGATCACTTCCTGGACAGTCTAGGCAGTCTCCTAGTTGGACAGGTATTTGTGGTTATGTTCCTTCATTCCTAACATTTCCCTCACTGCAAAGGAAACCTTAGTACTGGGTGACAGTGGACATCACTGCTCAAAAGGTGCATCAAGATTAGAGGTTGCAGACTGAGCACTGATAGGAATAAACACTTTTATGGAACAAATCCTTTAATTACTAACCTGAGAAATTAATTATTTTTACTAGTCCAGTTCTGTTTAGCTTTGTATTTTCTTGACAAATTAAAATAGGCTGGTTATATTTAATTTTGACCTCTTGACTTGATGCACTTATACCATGTTCCAAAATCCATGTGTCAAACATTTTATGCAAATCTTAATTTAATTAAAAAGACAGGATTATTCCCTTAGTTACTGCAAAACTCTACTTTTCTTTGAAATACATGATGGTATTTCTTTCTAGCTGAAATCCAGGAAGCATTTGATGTGACAAGTAATGTTTGACTGATGCTTTAGCATTAAATCAAAATGGCTAGGTTCACCTTATTTACTGCAGAAGAAATAAATTTATTGTGGTGGAGTAGCAAAATAATTCCTATTATGCAAAAGAAAAAAAAAACGTAAAGTTTACAAAAATAACCCCTGTTTTTACAGTAACTTACCCACAAAATAATTCCTATTATGCAAAAGAAAAAAAACCCCATAAAGTTTACAAAAAAAAAAAAAAACCCTGTTTTTACAGTAACTTACCCGCTAAAGCTTCTATACCAGCATGTAGTACTGAGTGCAGAAGGTGAGCTGATATTAAGAATATGTCATAAGCACCTAGTCCTAAAAAACTGTTTTTAACTGAAGACATCAAATTTTGTTTAGCTGTAGGAATGTACAGAGCCACCAAAAGTATCAACTGGAAAACATATAAATAAGCCTTCATACTTTCCTCAGAACTAGCAAGGCTGCAGCTAGAATAACACATTAATATTGGAGCATTGTACTAGGGCATGAAAGAAGACGTGGACCATTTGGAAAGAGCTGAGAAGAGAGACAAAATATTGATTTTAGAGGTGCAAAACAAAATCTATTGTTAGGATGCCAGTATGGTTGATACAAATGAGCGTGTGGTTGCCTGCAGGAGAACACTCCTGAGTGGCACATCTGAGGAGACCTGGTCGAAGCACAATCCTGAGAATGCCTGGAGAGCCCAGCCTGCAGCACAAGCTAAGTTAAAGCATTGAAATGCACAATCAGTCCCACAAAGCAGAAGTTCTACTGAGAAGATTTTAAAAGAGACATGCTATCAATATGATGAAGAAGTGCACTGCTGTTGACAAGATTAAGAAAGAATGACGCAATTCATAAAACCCACTGAGAAAGTGTCATCACTGATAAGACTGAGAAAAGCAATGTCAGGTCAAAAGAAGGGATGGGATGTAAACTGTCAAAGTCTCCAGACCATACGCAGTCTGAAGGAAAATGGAGCCTTGAGGATATTTCTGCAGAAACATTAAGGGAGCTGTAACATGTGAGCAATAGAAATCAGCAAGTCATAGAAGTTACCAAAAAGTGTGAGTGGGTGAGTGGATACTTGTGTTTGCGATCATCTGCAGTTAGATATCACAGATACACTTCTCACCTTACCAATCTTATTTATACAAGACATACATTAATGTAGAAATACTGGTATCAGTTAACACCTGTGAAAAGTTACTGTATCACTGCAAAACGGGTTACAACGGGTTACAACACTGTCATTTTCCGCACTGAGAGAAGGCTGAAGGGACACACAGACAATGGTCTTTGAGTACCTAAGAGGCCATTCTCTGAGTACAAAGGATGGCAACAGAAAAATAACGCAAGTCACTGAACTGCAGTGAGGCAGACATCAGAAAACCTCAGGCACAAGGCTGGATTCCTTGTTGAAGCTGTGGAATTTCCAACAGTGCAGGTTTGAAATGGCATACTGGACAACCATCATATAAAAAAAAAAAAAAAAAAAAAAGCCCCATATAACTGACCTCCTCTAGGAACAGAGGCAAAGCAGCTGGAACTTTTGAGATCTGGTCCAATCTGATCAGATCTTTTACTACGATTTTATGGCTGTAGCAAATGTTCGCATAAACTCTGCTTATTAATTTTGATTATACAAGAAGCACACTTCAAGTGACATGTTATAATGGCAAACAAACTACAGCAATCCACAAAAATGGGCTAAATAATGCTATAAATTATTTTCAATTGCCAGTTCAGCAGAACACTGAAGCATAGTTCTCGGTCTTAAAAACTTTAGGTCTAAGGACACAAACCACTCAAATCTTGAAGCACTGATGAAATACAAAACCAGCCCAATGACTATCTTTAACAACAGAATTTTAAAAACTCAGTATTAGAGAGGAGTATGCTGCAGGGCATACTCTTATACATCCCACAAAAAGCAAGGCATCTCTAATCTCCACTTCAGGAAAAAAAAAAACAAAAAACCCCAAGTGTTAGTGGAGATTTCCTGAAGAATTAAATAACCATACCTTAATGTGTATTTCATTCATGGAGAGGGACTGATGTGAACTGGCTATACCATTACTAAGATTTAGTGATTCCATTTGTCACAGTGATAACTGCATACAGATTGCCTGTCTTTAACTAAAGAAAGCTCCCTTCCTCCGAGGCTTTTAGCTGTCTGAAGATGCCTAAACGAAGCCTTTCTGTTGACACCCATGGGCTCCTTGGGGTGCTTATGTCAGTTCCTGGTGCTACCCCTTTTCATCTTAATGTACACCTGTCAGACTGCTCGGAATTTCTATTCAGTATCACCTTCCCCTAAAGGCTCCTTCAGCCTGAATAAACTTGGGTTTATTCACAAGTGAAATAAACTGTGCTCACCGACTTGATGGTTCTGCCTTGAAAAGCCTAAACGAGCAAAAAGCCGAGTGGTTTGAAACCCAATCTTTCCAAGTTGTACACTTTGCAGCTGGACACCGCAAAATCAGTTCAAGGGTTCTTGTTAAGATCAGACGATCCTCAGAAAAGGGCCCTGAGCGTACAGCCTATGAAACCACCAGATCTAAGATCTTCTATAACATTTCCCAGAATTTAAAGGCTTACAGGATGGTTTAAAGCTTTCGGCTTTGGAGGCGACTGGTGTCTCACAAAGTCTACCAACCGTATCCCGAGGACAAGTCGATCCGCGCAGGTAAACGACACCCGCGAAGAGCATCCTTGTGTGGGCTGCCCTGCCTGCCCGCAGCTCGGCCCCGAGCGCCGGCCGGGCTGCCCGGAGCTCCCGCGGCGCTCCCTGAGCTGAGCGCTTCCCGCGAGAGGCGCGCCCGCGGCCGCGGCTCTTTGACAGCAAGAAGGCAAAAACAGAAGCAGCGAAGAGACAGGACCATGCCCGGGCACCGACACCGGCAAGGAGGAGAGGAACAGCGCATCCCCGGGCCCCCAGCCCTGGCCCCGCCGCCGCCCCGGTGCCCGCCCGTCCCGCCGCTCACCGATAGTAGAAACGACGGTGCCCACGAAGTAGAAAGCGCCGGTGAAATCCCATCGGGGCCGGATGTCATCGACGCGGATGCCGGCCACGCTCGCCTCCTCGTATTCCCGGAGGAAGTGCCGGAGCTCGGCACGGCTGAGGTTGTGGCGCCGGGTGAAGTTCTCCAGGCGTTCCTCCCAGCGCTCCTTAGCCTCCCGCTCCGTGGGCAGCTCGATGGCCGAGAAGACGGCGGCGCCGCACAGCATGTACAGCACGATCAGCACCGCCAGCAGGAGGAACCGCGCGTTGTCCGCGTTGAGGCGACCCGCGCTGGAGCAGCAGCAGGCGCCGCGACACGCCATCCTCCGCCCGCGGGACCGGGCTGCCGCTCCGCCACGCTACGTCGGGGCCCTGCTGCCGCCGCCGGGCATCACGGCGCCGCCCGCCAGCCGTACGCGGGGCCGCGGGGCTCAGGGCGCCGCGGAGCCCGGCGGCGGCGAGCGGCGCTCCCAGGAGCCGGCCGGCACCTTCGCCCCGGGGGCAGGGCGCGGCCCCGGCACGGCCCCGCGGCGGACGCGCTTCGGGCTGCCGAGCATCCTGACGGCGATGGAACCGCTCGTCCCGTCCCGTCTCGCAGAGCCCCTCAGCCCCAACGCCCGCCGCGCGGGGCTCCCGTCCCCGCCACTTTCATATCCCCTTCATGCCCCCGCCCCGAGCACGTCGGAGCGGGGCGCAGGGACAGGCGCCTCCTGCCTGCCGGGGGGGACGAGGCGGGACCGGCGGCAGCTCGCCCCTCGCCCTCCCCCTTCGCCGCGGGGCTCCGCTGCCCGGTCCCCCGGCCGCTCGCACCATGGCCTCAGGGAGCCGCGGGCCGGGCCGGGCCGGGCCGGGCCGCGCCCCCAGGGGCAGCTCCCCCCGGCAGAGGCGCGGCCACCGCCCCCGGAGGTCCGCGCCGGCAGCGGGCAGGGCGGGCTGGCAGAGGGCGGCGGCCCCGCGGCCTCCAGCCCTCAGAGCGGGGCAAGCTGCCCCCTTCCCGCCCTCAGGTACCCGGCCCGGGCGGTGGGGCCCGGCAGCGCCCGAGGCAACCGGGCCTCTTAGAGGAGAGCCGGCATGAAACCCGTCAGTCGATTATATACCCACTCCCATCAAAGCCATAAAAAATTAGCGCCCTTTGCCAAAAGAGGGCACCTCCTTCTCCACAGGTCTGGTTACCAACTGCCTTCCCTACAAGGTGTTACATCTCTATCTGCAGGACATGGTAGTCGAAGGGAAATTGTTTAGGGAAGACAGAAGCAGCCTTTCCAGCTGCAATATGATTTTAAAATGCGTTTTTTGCAGGTTCAAAGAGCAGAGATGTGGATCCAAATCTGCTTGAAATATCATTCGCACTAGAAGAAGAAAAAGCTAAACTCAGCAATATCTGGTAGTTGCTACAGTGTTGAATTCTACTTTTAAATAATTGGGGGCTGGAATTCAGCTCTGCTAAACGTAATAGTATACAAGCACATTCTTTCCAGGGAAAGACAAGCTACATATATTTTTTAGAAAGCAGGTTAATGAGCTGTAACATCCACTTTCCTCCCCCACCCCCCCCCCGCAATTTTCTAATAATTGTTGCAGTCAAAATGCAATGGGAATGAACACTACGATCTTAGAAATCTCCCTTAATGGCAGATAATTGTACACTCTATGCAAGAGCCACTGATTGTCTCACAGCCTGAGGTATATTCGAGTATTGGTCTGAGCCCCAAGGGTGCACTGTGGGCAGTTACAATGCCAGCGTTTGAGAGAGGATCAGCACCTGTGTGACAACTGCTAGCGCAGTAGGCACAGGGAAAAATGAGTCCTTTTCTTGTGTTGCACAGTAAACCAGCAGCCAGGGATAAATGGGAGTCGTGTTTAATTTTTTCCTATTTGTTGTTATTCATAGGTGATACATCATGCTGCAGGTTTTTATTCGCTCTTAATTAGTCTTTAGCATAGACTTTAGCATGGAAATTAAAATTAGCAGCAATACTGAAAGACATCAAATAGCCAAAAATAGGAATATGAGATGCCAGCCAAACTAACCAGACTGTGCTAAGTGCTAAAGGTAACAACACGCTTCCATAAAAAAAAATGCTGGTGTATCTTTAAAATTATTGGCAGTTCCTATTAGGAGAAAAAACCAAAACCCACCTATGCTTCCTGCTTTGCCAGTCAGAAGGAAGACAGAACTGAGTGTGTCAGTGCACACAGCCTGCAAAGGCAGCAGAACTGAGTGAGCACCCTCTGTCCACACCAGTGGCTCCATCCATCAAACCTGTTCAAGGGTGGCTTGGATTAGCACGGTAGAAAAAAGCCTTTAGCTGCTTGCAACCATAACATCAATGTGATTGCCCAGAGGAATATGAACAACAATAACACTATGCAAAGGAATGTCCAAGGCAAATTATTCAAGGTTATTGAGTTCCTCCTTATTTACATACTATTTTGTTAGTGTGGAATAGTCATTTTTGTGTTTGTCTTGGGCATAGAGATAGTTATTGCATTAAAGCAGGTAAGATCATCTGGCACAGTTTTGAAAGACACATGTACTACTGTCATTGATCAAAAATTGCAAATTCCCTTAATTTGTCAACTTTGATCTTGGCAGTGATTTAATCATGTCTTAAGAAGGTGGCTTTTTAAGGATATGCTCCCTCTTAAAGGATGGAAAACCAGCAAGCTGATATTGGCTGGAATCTTGAAAAAGAAATTGAGAGCTTATTCTAAAGAATACTTTAGTGTAAAACAAGTCACCATTCCCACTGCTCTTGGGTAAATAGCTGGAAAAACTGGAGCGTGTGGAGAGCACAAACAGTGTAATCAGTCAGCCATCCATAACATTTAATAAAGGTGGAATACAGAAATGCAGTGTGTTCACTGGCATAAGAAAAATAAAAAGTAACTTTTAGTTTCAGGTAAAAAAAAAAAAAAACCTGGTTACACATGTTGCTGACATTTAAATTAACCCCAAATCAAAGTGAATGTCTTGCAAGCCTGAGCCCAGAACACAATGCCATTACCCTCAGTACAGACACTGGCATCACTATCAGGAAGCATGCTGTTTTCCCTACCCCTCAGCACCACAAGCACACAGCTCCCTAGCGCCTGTGTGCGCGGGCATTTGGTGACAACAGATTGGTGGTGGTAAGGCTAGAGCAACTGTAAAATAATAGGAAAGAAAAATCAATATATTTACCAATTCTCTTGATAATATTGACTGATAGCCCTGTAATTAAGAAAGGTAACAGTCACTGAGTACCCCAATAATGATTACTAGTAAGTGTCTGGTCAGAGTAGAATTATTATTAATGCATCATCAAATTACTTGGAAGACTCATGAAGAGGTTTAGTTACTTGTAGTTATGATATTTTATTAAAAATCTTTTTTTTAGAATTTTTCCTTTCCTGAGAAGCTGAAGGCCTCAGGAAAGAAGTGTAAACAATAACTGTCTGCTGCTGTGGAATGAGACAGGTGTGTCTTCATTGATCCATGTGGATTGTTTTCAACTAATGACCAATCACAGCCACCTGTGCTGAGGCTGTGAACAGTCACAAGATTTTGTTATTCTATTCTTGTTCTTTGTAACATTCTAATCTTTCTTTTCTCTCTGTTCTTTTAGTATAGTTTTTATGTAGTATTTTAGTATAATATATAACATAATAAATCAACCTTCTGAGAAAAATGGAGTCAAACCTTGTGTATCTCCAAACAGAATTCACCTCAACAGTTACTCTCATTGACAGTATCAGTACTTTTTAATTCAAGGTCTCCTTTACAGGTGATTAGCTGGTACACTTAACCAAAACTCACTGCTTTTGTTTAGTGAAGCTATGGAATGGCTGCAATGTACTCCTGAGCCAACTTTATGCCTAATGAAATATCCTGACAGAGAAGCAAATAAACCAGCCCTCCATTACCTTTGATACTGAACAAAAATTCTTCAGGAACATAATTCAGGAACATAACAACCTTGACACTAACAAACCACGTTGAACAAAAAACCCCCAAAACAAAACCAAAAACACCAAAACAAACAAACAAAAAAAACCAAACCAAAAAACCCAAAACTTCATGAACATGTGAAACTGGGCATCTAGAGTAGGCTAAACTTTTCAACATCCCTATTGCTTTTCTAGGAGTTTCAAAGAGATGCCATCTTTGGGAGACTCCTTTTGAATGTGGAGTAGGGAATCACAGAAGTATTTACTGTGTCCAGTTCTGGCCCTCAGTTTGGGAAGGACGTTGAGATGCTTGAGCACATCCAGAGGAGGCATCACGGCTGGTGACGGGATGCGAACACAAGCCCTGTGAGGAATGACTGAGGGAGCTGGGGGTGTTTGGCCTGGAGAAAAGGAGACTCAGGGGTGACCTTATCACTCCCTACAACTCCCAGAAAGGTGGTTGTAGTCAGGTGGGGGTTGGTCTCTTTCTCAAAGCAGCAACTGATAGAACCAGAGGACACAGTCTTAAGCTGCACCAAGGGAAATATAGGTTGGACATTAGAAAAAAGTTTTCTAGGAAAAGAGTGATAAAGTACTGGAATGGTCTGCCCAGGGAGGTGGTGGAGTCACCATCCCTGGATGTGTTTAGAAAAAGACTGGATGTGGCACTTGGTGCCATGGTTTAATTGATGTGTTCAGGCATAGGTTGGACTCTATGATCTTCCAACCTAGTGATTCTGTGATTTAAGATCATTTAGTCCAAACATTAACAAAATACTACCAAGTCTACCACTAACCCGTATCAGTAAGTGTTACATCCACACATCTTTTAGTAACTCCAGGGTGACTCCACCACTTCCCTGGGCGGTCTGTTCCAATGCCTGACAACTCTCAGTGAAGGATTTTTCCCTAATATCCAATTTAAACCTCCCCTGGTGAAACTTCAGGCTCCTCTTGTCCCCTCACTTGTTACCTGGAAGAAGAGGCTGATTCCCACCTGGCTACAACCTCCTTGCAGGTAATTACAGTGAGCTACTGGGACTCTTTTTCTCCATGCTAAATACTCCTAGCTCCTCCAGTTACTCCTTGGAAGACTTGTGCTCCAGACCTTCCAGCCAGCTCCACTGCCCTTCTCTGGGTATATTCCAGCCCCTCAATGTCTTTCTTGTCACGACGGGCCCAAAAGTGGACACAGCACTTGAGGTGTGTCCTCGCAAGTGCTGAGCATGGAGGGACAATCACTGCCCTGGTCCTGCTGGCCACACTATTTTTGATGCAAGCAATGTGTTCTATTAATGGGATGCTGTCGATTTTATAAAATACCTGGGAGTAAACTTGCAAGATACAAGTTCCAACCCAATCTGAAATGTACACATTTAGAAGACAGAACAAA